AAATAATGAACACCAAAACAGTGGAGGTGATGTTGTTGGTGTATTGAAAATCAAATTTGTAAAATCATAAGAGAAATAATATGGAAGAACTTAGTAAATGGAAATAGATAAAATTTAAATCAAATGGAAATAGACATTTGAAATGTCGCGCCCTTAAATTTTCGGGAGGGGAAAAAACAGGGACAAAAAAAAAGGAGAAACATTTAAATTGTTTTAGTCAAAAGAAAAGAGAAAATCGAAATCCAAATAAGATAGATTTATTCACAGCAATTTTTAGACAGATTAGATGAAGTTGAACATGCCAAAATTGATCATGATCATCATTGCCACATACTAGAGAAGAAGAAGAGGAGGGAAAAAGAAAAAAACATTTAAATCCTTTTGGTAAATCTTGAGTAAGGGGGATTTCTTGACAGTAATTTTTGGACCGATTACATAAAAGTCAAGAGACCAAATTTAATTATAACCATCATTGTCAATACAAAGCCAAGTAAGGATTAAATACGCTAAGCAAAAATGGGTACACATATATGTATATGTGATTATGAAATAAATAAATAGAAAATATAAATAAGACACAGAAAAAGAGCAATCATAAGAACACAAAGAAATTTTTTTGAATACTATAGTAAACAACATAAAACAATACATAATATATTCAATATTAATAACGGATATGTAGAAGACATGGGTAACAATTAGTAAAAGTATCTGTAACGCTACGAATATTGCCTTAAACATAGAATATGATCCAACGAAATAGAGATCCAACAAAGATAGTTTAAAATATTGAGCAATAAATACACCAAGATGAGACCAAACAGCCAAAAAGTCAAAAATGTTAGAGCAAGTAAAAAGAGAGAAGAAAGAAGATATCAAGACAGCTGTAATCAACAATTGTAGACAATAGCATATTCTAAAATAAAGATCCAAATGGCCACAAATATATTGATCATAATTTATGAACAAATTACATGGCAATAAAAAAGTAAAAATAGATTGTAACAATCACTGCCATACATTGGTTACCAGCTAAGGATAACATATATCAAGTAGAAATACAAACTAATATATGTACTATTATAAGACGAATAAGAAACACATAAAAAGATAACCATATATTACTAAGATTTATTAACAATGAGAAGGAGAATACTATAAAAACAACTTATGTCGACAGCAATACAACAAAACAATCTACTCAGTATGAACAATAAATATTAAGAGCATTTGGACAAAAGTCATTAATAATATCTGAAATATTGTAAACTGTGCCTTAAATAACCAATATCAGCTACCCGAAGAAAGCTCAAAGAGACATGAATAACACAATGGGACAGTAAATAGGCAAAGGTAAACCTGAGTAATAAATTATCAACAATGGAGCAGAAAATGGGAGATGTTAGGTGTGGAAGAGAAAACAGGAGAGAAGTTAGACAACAAATTAATACACAGTAAGAGTCTTTTGCATATATAAAGAGGCAGATAACAAATAACAATGTCACATTGGAAGTCGGTGCAAAGAAAAAATTTCTTTAATTAAAGAAAATGGTAGAAATGGCGTGGGATTAAAAGCGGCCAAAGAGCCCAAAAATAATAATAATAATAAAAGAACAAAGAAAAAAAAGAAAATCATAAGGGAAAAGGGGAAAAAAACGGAGCAAAACGAAAAAAAAAACCCCGAATAATATTCAGTACAGAGAAAAAGAAAATAGATGAAAAAAAAAGGAAAAGGGGGAAAACAGATGCATTTTTTTTTCGGCAGATTTTGTAGATATTCCGGACAACAAAAAGAAGAAAAAAATCCCCAAATCATTTAATGCTTTTTTAAAGGAAAGGAAAAAACGACACAGATTAACATAGAAGTACAAATTAGTATCGTAGGCATTACAGGTATCAGCAAAATCAATAAATGCGAAAGAGATTAATTTAAGCAGAAGTCGGATACACAATCAGCAAATAGGAAAATTTATATAGCAGAGAAAAAATAGGACGTTTACCTATAGAAATCAGCCACGGCATAGACCGGTTTCTGGGCAAATTAATGAGCTGGTAAAAGGAAGAAAATACTCAAAGAAGATTAGAGAATCATCAGTAAGAGGAAAAAAAATCCAAAATAGAAAATATCTATAGATTTTAAGCAATTAAAAAACATTGGTAGACCAACCATGACAGAAAACAAATCACCAACAGCGAGAAAATGCCCGCTCTCCATCTTCTCTGTGGTTTTTTTTAAGAAGGGAAAACAATTGCATGGAACCCAAAATATGTACTACCGTAACAACACAGGAAAAACCGAGCAAAATCCTAAATCAAAACAACAAAAAAGCAGCAAAAAAGAAGAAGAAATAGAAGACGGAAAAAGGGAAAAAAAAAAAAGCAACGACAGTTTAAGAAAAAAATACAGAATATATACAACGACAAAATCGCATAAAAATCCCAACCAAAATCCGTAATAACAAATCTCCACCGGAAACATGTGAAAAACCAAAATCAACCAAAGAATACTATGCGGACAAGAACCAACAGAAAATAATCGGAGAAAGAAAGAACCACCGAGAAGCAAAAGCCCAAGAAAACAAAAGGAAAAAATGAATCTGAAGCCTTTGAGAGAAAGAGAAGCAGAACAAACAGCGAAAGGAGATGCATCTAAGAAAGAGATGAACGAGGGCTTCAACGGAAGCGAAATTACCAAAAAATCAAAGCTGAGAGCAAATAAGACAGAAACGCCCCCACACAGAAGAAGGAGAATAAAAGAGAGAACAAGGGCAAAACGGGAAAAAAGTGTACTGTAATTGTGTGGGTGAACAGTACAAATTGGGTCTCCCCTAATAGGGGTGTTCGGCGGTTCGGTAGCCGAACCGACCATGTCGGTTTTTAAAAACCGGAAATTGAAACCGAACCGTCAAAATTATTATTCGGTTCGGTTAACTGAATTTCAATTTTCGGTCGGTTTTCAATTTTGGTAATCAGGATGGTGACCATTAGTTAACTATTAGGTTACCAGCATATTTAGTTGCATTTTTTGACCAGAAATTGCGGAAAAATGTAAAACATTCCTTCTATGTAAACATGTAATCACAATAAATGAATACAAAGCACAACATCCAAATTGATAATACCATAAACACAAAATATTCAAAATCCAATGGCTAGGGTTTTTTTTGCCCCAAATATGAGAGAGTGAGATAGAGAGAGATTGTGAGAGACGAGGGTGAGTGAGTAAATGAGATGAGAGAAGAATGAGAGACTGAAGGGAAAACGGTGAGAACAAGGGAAAACGACAAAGTTAAAGCTTAAACGGTGAGAAATGTATAAAATGACAACATTAAAAAAATTGACTAAACTTAAGTTCGGTCGGTTCGGTTTATAACCGAACCTTTAAAGCCTAAATCGAAACTGAACCGCAACCGACTTTTGTCAGTTTCACGTGGCGCCATATTTTTCGGTTTTGGAGCGATCGGTTTTTCAGGCGGTGGAGGTCGGTTTCGGTTTTACAATTTTTTTGTACAGCCCTATCCTTTAGTATATTTATAATGTCGTTTCGATGACGTCGTCTTTTTGGTTGTCTTTGTCGCTTTTTAAAGTTTTTGACTCACCCCAGGAAATCGTTTCCCCCCATTCTTGTTGTTTTCCTCCGCTAGCAACCAAGACAAAAATAACTTTAATGCTGTGTTTAGTAGGAATGAAAGAAAATATGATAGAAAGAAAATATGGAAGTAATGGAAAATAACAATGATGGAAAGGAAATTGATTTTCTTTTATGTTGTTTGGTATGAGAATATGGAAAGAAAATGAGCTTACCTTCACTTGTTTGGTATTGGAAGTTAAATTGGGAGGAAAGAAAAAATGTTACTCGTAAATTACTTTTATACCCTTAAATTTTTTACTTGGATGTTGATGGAGAAAATGGTAGTTTAGTAACTTTACTCACTTTAATGAGTTGTCTCCATTTCTCATCCCATTTTCTATCCACTTGTGGAAAGAAAAAAAATGGTGGGACCCACATGTATTATTTTCCACTCCATTTTCTCTTCCTTTCTCTTTTCTCTCCTACCAAACAACTTACATTTTCATTTTTCCTCCCAAAATCCCTCCACTTTCTTCCTTCCTTCTACTTTTCTTTCCTACCAAACATACTCTAAAATAAAATGCTGGGCTTTTAAAATAATTTCAACCCACTTTATTGTGGACCCAGGCAAAATCAATTGTTGTGTTTGTAATTATTTTTATTTTTGTTTTTCATGTTTTTTAAGAAAAAAAAATAAAAAAAATTTTAAAATGTTGTTTAATACAATTAAAGATAAGAAATAAAAATAAAAATAATTTTTTAATTTAGTATAAATGAGAGAGATTTTTTTAAAATTTTTTCTTCTATCGAGTAGAAAGATACATTAATAAATTTTTTTATATTAAAAATAATATTTTAATAAAATTACTAAGCACATTTTTAAAAATAATTTTTATCTGAGATTAAAAATATTTTTATTTTTAATTTTATAAAAAAATAAAATTATTTTGAATGAGTTTTAAATGCACTTAATAAATTTTCATCAGGCAAGTTGACCGTTATTATTTCCTTCATTGGACTTCGTAAATCCAATCGATTTCTACGTTTGGTTCATGGATTAAAATTATGAGATTAGAATTATTTTTGATTTACGTGTATTTTTTATGAAAAAAAATACTGTAACAAATCATAAATTATAATTCAAATCGGAGTACGAATTCCCAAACTAAACAACTCCAATTCTGGTGCCCACGATTTCATTTACCGCATATTCGTTTCCCGTGCTTCTAGATACTCGCCACCTCCGCCCATAGAAAGTTCATGATTCATTAGCATTACAAACAAACCGTGACTGCAAAAAGAAAGCATTCTCGGCCGTCCATATCAATTATCACCATCATTTTCCCACGTTCAACGGTAGTGATTTTCTCGCCCGTGGTAAACAACCACGTGTCTTATTCACGGTCTCCAACCTTTTAAAACCCGCTTTCCTTAACTCAACCGAACCAAAAGAAACACTTTCGAGAAGAACAAAAAGAAAACACAAGAGTTTATTCATTCACTGATCATAATCATCATGGCCACGATCAAGCTCGTTAAAGCTCGCCAGATCTTTGACAGCCGTGGAAACCCAACTGTTGAAGTGAGTTTTTCTTTGATCAATGTCGTTTTAGGGCTTCTTCTTTTTTCCCCCCCCATTTTCACCACTACAGTTGTTCGCTGAGAAAAATAAATATTAGTAACAGTTGTTGTACATTTTTTCAAATAGAAATGATTTTCCATTGCATTTCTGGGCACATACTCTTTTTTTATTATTTTTTTAAATTTTTTAAAAAAAGAAAGATTTTTTTTTTCATGTGTAGTGTTGTGATATCTGAATGTGGGTGTGATTTCAATTTTCAGGTTGATGTTGTACTCTCTGATGGAAGCTTCTCTAGAGCTGCTGTGCCCAGTGGTGCCTCCACAGGTAAATCCATGGCGTCCTTCTTAAGCATTTGTATACCTTTAATGAATAAGTACGTTTTGGCACGCATGAAATTTTCTTTATTATGCTCTGGTGATGCATGATTTGGTCTAGAGTCTAAGTGTTAAGGAGATTTTTAGGAAGTTCTTTTTCTTTTCTTTCTTATTAGGTCTAAGCTCGTACATTAATTTTTTTTTTTTCCTTTTTCTAATAATGCTTTCTTACTCCCATTTGATTATTGTTAATTTTTAGGTATATATGAAGCCTTGGAATTGAGAGATGGAGGATCGGATTACCTTGGGAAAGGTGTCCTGAAGGTACGTCAATTTGATTGTTACACTCATTCTCTTCCTGTAGTGAGCTTTGATTTATGATGTTTCCAATAGAATTCTGGTGTTTATTCTTGTGAATTAATTTAAATTTGAACTTTGTCAGACTGATTAGCTGTAAGTGCAATTGATATATTGGTCATTGATCAATAGAAACACCTCACAATGATGTTCTCTATTATGTAACTAATAGGCAGTTAATTTTCTTTTTTTTTTTCCCTGTGATATTTGCAATGGTACACTTAGTAGTTTGTGTTGTCTCATCATCTTTTTGGATGTGTGGAATGAACCTGACGATGAGTTTAATTTTTCACCATTTTAGGCTGTGGGGAACGTGAATACAATCATCGGACCTGCTTTGGTTGGCAAGGTATTGTAGTATAGTTTCAGCTACATCATCTTGGAAATTCCACACAAGTTGATGGGGATTGCTGTCCGCTGACCACCGCACTCTTTTCCCCCTTTTATGCACTTGCAGGACCCTACAGAGCAGACCAAAATTGACAATTATATGGTACAACAGCTTGATGGAACAGTTAATGAATGGGGTTGGTGCAAACAAAAGGTATATTCACATTGTTCATTTAATCAGAAAATGTAGAAGAAATGAGATCCGAAAAAAAAGAAAGGAATCTGAATGTTTTTTTTTTTTTGGGGGTCGATTATTTCAGCTTGGAGCAAATGCTATACTAGCAGTGTCTCTTGCTATTTGTAAAGCAGGTGCCGCGGTGAACAAGATTCCTCTGTACAAGGTATGTGTGGTATAAGAGTGAGGCTATGTTGCTCCAACTAGTTGATGCCATGAATGTATAGGTTGACTGTTTTCTAACCCATTACTTTGCAGCACATTGCCAATCTCGCTGGAAACAAGACCTTGGTGCTTCCTGTACCGGCATTCAATGTAATTAATGGCGGTTCCCACGCAGGCAATAAGCTGGCGATGCAGGTGATAATGGTTTTGGACGGTTTTTAACTCATTCACATAGATTGTATATTATCATTCTCAGTTGATCACACATGACATCCCTATTATTTACGCTATATGCAGGAGTTCATGATTCTTCCTGTGGGGGCATCTTCTTTCAAGGAAGCAATGAAGATGGGAGTAGAAGTCTATCACCACTTGAAGGTGTCCTCTCTCTCTCTTTTTATTCTCCACCTATACACACCCTCACTTAAACTCACACACCCTTGCATATACGTCTGTTGACATATGCATGATCATGGTTGTATTAGTATCATTTTCTTTAATAAAATTTTTTGAATAAAATGACATGGTTTTATGGCTTTATGTTTCTTGTTTTCCCTGACAGGCGGTGATTAAGAAGAAGTATGGACAAGATGCAACAAATGTTGGAGATGAAGGAGGCTTTGCTCCAAATATTCAGGTACGTTCTCTTGATATATTGCTGGCCTTTGGTTATTTAAAAACCTTTTTCTGGTTTCCCAATCCTAGCATGCTCTAACATTTTATTTTAATCTTTTAGAATTCTGACAAGTTGGTAAAAGTGTGATTGTGAGGTCTGTGAACAGATGGAAAGTTAGATTTTGGTATTGTTTGCCTGTTTAGGGTATGCGGCTGATTTAATGCCGAATGCGAGTAAGATCTTAAATGACGTTTGATTTACAGGAAAACAAAGAGGGCCTTGAACTGCTGAAAATAGCCATAGCTAAAGCTGGATACACTGGAAAGGCTAGTTCTAGCATCTCTAATTTGAAGTCCATACTTTAATCCAACTTTAATAGGTACAGTTATTTTAAATAAAATCTGATGAATCACTTTGTTTTCTGACAGGTTGTAATTGGGATGGATGTTGCTGCTTCAGAATTCTATGATAGCAAGGATAAGACATATGACTTGAATTTCAAGGAAGAGGTAATTAAATGCAATTAATGAAAATCTCTCTCTCTCTCTCTCTCTCTCTCTCTCTTAACCTTTATATACCTGAAAGTAGATCATTACTAAAGACGTTGTAATTGAGAGCGTACCGGATTTTATCAATTAATGTCTTTAGTTGGGAATCTGAATGTAATCAGTCTATCTGCTCGCAGAACAATGACGGATCACAGAAGATATCAGGAGACAGTTTGAAGAATGTGTACAAGTCATTTGTGACCGAGTATCCTATTGTCTCCATTGAAGATCCCTTTGACCAGGATGATTGGGAGCATTATGCAAAGCTGACTTCTGAAATTGGCGAGCAAGTGCAGATTGTTGGTGATGACCTTCTTGTCACAAATCCAAAGGCAAGCATCTATTGCTATTACTTTTGTCGGTTTCATATACACAGTGAAATGCTAAAGAGGCATCTCACAACATTACTCTATTAACTGTGGTTTCTGCAGCGTGTGGAGAAAGCGATAAAGGAGAAGGCCTGCAATGCCCTACTCCTGAAGGTAACTCAACACTTGCCCCTTAGGCAGTACGATATGGCAAATTGCCAAAGCCAGAACTCTTATTTCCTTCTTGTATAAATTGTTAGGTGAATCAAATTGGTTCTGTGACTGAAAGTATTGAGGCTGTGAAAATGTCTAAATGTGCTGGATGGGGTGTTATGGCAAGTCACCGAAGGTAGAACGTTTTATATTCACCATGGCTCTCCCTTTTTCTCTCAACCATGGATTGCTTTTGCTGATTTGTCTCTTCTTTTTCCAATTCTAGTGGTGAAACCGAAGATACATTCATTGCAGACCTTTCGGTTGGGTTGGCAACGGTGAGTTCATTTTCTTTTCAGCATTGTAAACATGTTCTGTTTAATCTATTTATTTTAGTACAATTTTTGATAAAACAATTAAGGAACTTTAACACTCTTCATTTTTTAGAGAGTTCATTTGGAGCTTATAATCCGTTGTTTAAACAAATATGATATGGTATGCTACAGGGTCAGATCAAGACCGGTGCTCCTTGCAGGTCGGAACGCCTTGCAAAATACAACCAGGTAAGTCTTACTGCTCGTGTTTATCCATCTCTACTTATTTGGTACTTGTGCCTGAAATTATTCTTGTCATTTATTGTATGGCAGCTTCTTAGGATCGAAGAAGAGCTTGGATCTGCGGCAATTTACGCTGGAGCGAAATTCAGGGCACCAGTTGAACCCTACTGATTCCTCCACGAGACTCTTATAAGAACAGTTTTCAATAAGCATGTCTAGAGTTTGTTATTGCGAAGATGAAGTTTTAATTACTAGTTGAATGAGTGAACTCTAAATGCCAGTATGGTCATCGGAAGTTGGATTGTTTTGCCGTTATCCTTCAGGTTATGTTGTTTGGTCTATGCTATACATATTACACGTGCTTAATGGTAAATTACTGTTCTTGGTGGGTATGTTTACTTAAATTTAAAACAAACTACATACTATGCTATTAAAAAAAAAAAATCGCTTCAACTATATGAGCCAAGATTACTTCCACAACTGCATAAAATGTTAGAGAAAAACAAATTAGCAAAGGAAAAGTAAGTAAATCCGCAACAATATCAACTGATTTGAAGATATGATCAATCAAAAATTTGTGAGAAATTCATACCCCATTGCTGGTGGAATAGTCTCGTCCCCAACACCGCGTACCTGAAATATTGCACAAATATGTGTAAAAACTACTTTGCTGAGAAGTGAAATTTAAATCCAAATAACTACCATCAACACCAGCATCCCATACGGATATTATTTTGTCCGAAACCTGTAGGATCATAGAAATACATTTGGGAGCCAAACCTGTAATATCAAATTTAACCGAGGAAATTTCATTTTTTTTCATTGGGAGCCAATTGCTTCTGGTGTACATTGCCAACATTAGATGAGGGATTCTTTTGAATTCCATGGATTCTCATTCTCTTATATTTCATTTCATACACGTCAGTGACATTGCAAGTTGGATAAGTTTCTATTCACACATTTTTTTAGCATGCAAAATGCTATAATTGTTGGGGAAATGGAAGAGAGAGGTGTTATTCTTGCTAATTGCTATTTAGATTTGGTCAAGTTCATTCTCTGATTTTCCAGCATTAGACCCAATATATTTCATATGGGTAGAACTCAATTCTAGCAAATTGATTGACACACACCTGGGCAGCTTTTTGAGGGTTTAGTGGCCAACATGTTTGTCATGTTCATGAAACAATAGCAGTCTCTGATGCTTAGTTTCTCAGAGTTATATTTCCATGCCGCAGAGTGAAATCATGCCGTAATATGTGGGTGTAGATTGCACAAAGTAGTAAGAAGATAAGAGTTCTGCTTCTATTGTTTGAAAACGTAATTGTTTGTTTCCGAGATGATCTTGGTCCTCTCATAAAAGTCGTAAAATTATAAATGCGAAGTTCGACAATAAAAAACATCCCATTCAAATGATAATGTCAATCTCAAAAGCTCGAAATCGTCTTAAATTAATGATAATGTTCAAATGACAAGGTTATTGTAAATTCCAAATCGACCCATCCATCCGGAAAAAAAAAAAGGAGCTTAATTGGTAGCTAAATCTAAGGTCATGGAAGGAGCCATAACTATATACCAGGATGTCAGAGCTGGACGTGAGGTTGAGGTAAAAGAGAAGTCGTTCATTTCGATTTAAATTTTAAATTCTAAATTTTTATAATTATAAATTTTTAAAAAATATCATATTTAGTTTTTTTTTATTACAATTAAAAATTTTCACCTTAAAACTATTGTCACGGAACATCCTCTTGAGAGCAAATTCCGGGTGTGATTCTTTTGCAATCGAAGGATTTTTATTGTTTTGTTTCAGGTTTAATCTAGATCTTTGACAGCTTTTGAGATTATATATGACCTTTATTTTTTCAGCGTCTCGTGTCCCTGCAGATGCTATTAGTGTCGGTCATAGTCTCGAATACATTTTTGTTTTGTGTACCTACTTATACTTATTCTCTGTTTTTAGTAATGTTGTTGAACTGTTCTCCTTGGAGACTCGTGCCGTCTTGGTTGGAAGATACTAAGACATCGTTTATTTCATCGATTTAAATTTTCAGTTTTATGTTTTTTCAGTAAAAAGTTCTCAGAAAATGTCACATCTAACTTTTTTTATTACAGTAAAAAACTCTTAAAAAATGTCACATATCAGATCGAATTGAAAACTCGAATCTGCAAAGTGAATAATGTCTAAATCAAAGCCTCTGCATGTTGCAACAAAGCAACTCACTTGTCATTTTTATTTCATTAATTTAAGTTTAAAATTTAAGTTTTCTTACGGTAGAAACTCTCAGAAATAATTATATTTAATTTTTTTATTATAATAAAAAATTTTCACATAAAGTCACATCTCAATTTTAATTAGTAAACTAAACAAGTACAAAATATGTATAGTTTAGAATCAAAGCCAATATTCCCTTAATTATTTATTCTCTTTTTCTTTTTTTCTTCATCTCCCTTCTTTCTTTGAACTACGAAAAAAAAGAAGTTTATAATAAATAGGCATCCTATGTATTATGATTTTATGTGCATTTAGATCATAAATAGATCATTTATCATATATCTTACAATCATAATCAAATTTACAAATTGAATTGGAAACTTAAATTCGGGGAATGAGGGTTGCAGGTTATAGCCCACTCGCAGTTTTTTTTTTTTTTTTTTCTATGCGTTGACAACGAAAAGACGAATAAAACCCGACCCATATACCATATTAAGATTTTTCATCAGCATTGAGTTTTTATTAAAATATTATCTAAATACAAATTCAAGTTTTAACTCACTCAAACACAAACTCACAAATTTTTTTATCTCAAACCATAACTCAAATGTACACAACTTCCCGTTCAGTTCGTTAATTCGAGTTGAGATGTGATGTTGTGTGAGCTTTTTACTATAGCAAAAAAGTTAGATGTGACTGTTTCTGAAAGCTTTTTACTGTAGTAAAACTCAAATTCTAAACTTGAATCAGCGAAATGAACGGGACCTTATTATATGCCAATACTTCGCTCTCAATATCAAAAAATAAGATAGAATTGAATACAGAGAAAACAACACAAAGACAGCAGAAAACAAAAAGAACCAAACAGAGCTTAAACATATCAATTGAACTAAGGAAACCCCTTGGAAAATATATAGGATTCACAGACTCAAGCACATATTTCACACGGAAAGCAGAGGAAATACACGTTCACAAAATACCAATAAAATATGTGTATATTTCCTCAATACGATTACGTTAAACCAAAAAAATTGTAGCTTATTTACATTTGATCAATTGAAATAAATCCGATAAGTAAACTAAAGAAAAACGTTAAAAAAAAAAAAACCGAATCGCCATATAAAGAATAAATCACTTGTTCGTTGTTCCTCAATCACATATAAAGGAACGGAATTAATAAATGAAAGAAAAGATGAAACTCCAACAACATAAAAGACGAAAATCTGTCTAGGCTATACAGTGATAGGAGGTGCTTCAAGTCTGATGTAGTCATACATTTGTCCTCCAAAAGGACGTGGACTTCTTGATTAAGATAGAGAGTATTGTCTCCTTGTAGCCTGGGACATTGACACTGTAATGCCAATATAGTCCATGAATTCCATGCCTTGCGATTGAATTGACTCGGCCAATTCGATGTGTTGAGAACATAGGTGAGTATGTTGGCAGGTAGTTGAATCGAACCGAACCTTTACGCCGCGTTTGAAACTCGTTTTAAAATGATTTTATTTTTTATATGAAAATAAAAATGAAAACGTTTTCAATTTCAGACAGAAATCATTTTTAAAAATGTATTTAGTAGTTTTATCAAAATATTGTTTTCAGTGTAAAAAAAATCTATTAATGTCTATTTTTTTCTCTCTCTGCTCGAGAGAGGAGAAAACGAAAATAAAAAATGAAAAACGACTAAAAGTCATTTTTCATTTATCTCTCATTTTATACTAAACTAAAAAATCGTTTTCATTTTCGTTTTTTATTTTTATTGTGCCAAACGCCATTTTAAAAATATTTTCATTTTTTTTTTCAAAAAACGTAAAAAATAAAAATAGAATCAATTCTAAACATGGCCTTAATTTTATTAAAAAAATAAAAAGAAACTAATTAAAGCCCATAAGCAAAAATGATGTATATAACACGTAGAAGTATTAAGGGTATATATATGATATTTGTTTTATGTAAAAATGATTTAGGAAGGGTTTTATGTTACAAGTAAAATCTTTGTTGTTACACGTCTTTGTTATTGTTTTTAAAATAAATGATATATTGTACCCCTATTTCTCTACATAGCATGAAAGACCGAAGATAAAACCACTAAAAAGAATATGTATATATGCTGCAAACCAGTTGTGCTTGGGCTGAGGCTATTGCTAGTTGGAACCTTAGTTTTCATAACGTTTTCATTTCCATTTTCGTACAGAAAACAAAAACGTTTTGGAATCAATTCCAAACGCACCTGTAGTTTTCATCCCACGTCACGTTTTGAAGATTGAGTTAGACCTGCCACGTGGTTTGTTGGTATGTTCCATTTCCGGTGTTCCTAAAATCATGTCAGGAAAAAGATAGAAGTTAAGAAGCCAGAAATTACTAAGGATCCATTTGATAAGAGAATTCAAATGTGATTCTAATCATAATTCTATAATCAGAATTATTATTTATGATTTTGAGTTTAAATTATAATTCTGAAACCATGATTAAGAATTAAGGGTTTGAATTACCTTAAATTAAGAGGGGGTGATTTTAAAATCATGAGTGATTCTGGTTTAAAACATCACATCATATTTATAATCATTCAAACCAAACACTGATTCAGAATCACTGTAAACAAACACTGATTCTGAATCAAGATCCAGAATCATGATTCTAGATCCATCTACCAAACACCCCCGAAGTAAGCAGCAACTAAATAATACCGGTTGATATGAGCAAAGAACCAATCGCGTTTGATAATCACTAACTCCAACATTATAAATGAGATAATTATCAGGATAGAAATCAGTGTAACGATCCCGCAAACCATATTACTTGAACCTCATGAGAAAATGGTTCTAAGTTATACCAATGAAATTGCAATTCTACAAAATTAATTATGGGCAAATTGCATTAATATAACCTGAAATTTTTGTCATTTGGAAATGAGACTTTTAAGGGATGTTTAGTTCATGAATTCATAACTATTATCGATTTATGTGTGTTTTTTATGAGAACAAACACTGTAACGAGCTACGTCGCAGACGCCAACGTCATCTTGCCCCGAGCCTCCGTCCATGTCCCGAGCCCCTAGCCTTCCGTCTGCCGTGCCCTGAGGCCGCGAGCCATTGTCCAACTCACTGTTCTGTCGCAAATGCCATCGCCTAGGCTCCGTCGCGACCCGGACTTCACAGGCGTTGACGCCGTCTTCATCTCCCT